CCTCTGACCTCAGGTCACCAAAACTATTTTTCTATTTTTCTCTAGGTCAAACGCTACACAACCGTGCTCGTAATTTGTCTTTATCTCTAAAACTCTATTTTTAGTAGCTATTTGAAGTTCGCGTCTGTGACACCGAAGTTTGCCGTGCAGGAGTCTAGAAAAATCGACTTGGTGACGTCATCAATGGGGCTAGGTCCAAATGTTTTACTTCAGAAGATGTCAAATTGATGGGAGAAAAGGTACTGAAAGTTTCGCTTTCCTATCCCTAAGCGTTCGGGAGCTATGGCAAATATTCGCCAGGGGGATCGAAAAACGCCCCCCCCCCCGGGCCCGCGAGGGTTAATCTAGTGAATGGGGCTTCTTGCCTCAGGCCGTGGGGCATTTGGGGTTGGGGCAAAATGCCCCATTTGCAGTTGCTTCACAAATCACTTCCTAGCTGGGAGTCAGATCATAAGTGAATGAATTTGAGGGGTGGAATTTAAAGTAAAATGTCCAAAGAACACATTGAGCACAAATTTGGCCTTCCAGGTGATGTGAGACAAAAGTAGGGGAGAGTGGGGTAATTTGGCCGGTGGTGTAAATTGGCCGCCCCCACCTGTACGAAAGCTGATAAAAGTGAATGAAATAACTTTGGTCTCTATTCATTTGTCATCGGCAGAACTAACTCGAGGACAAATGTCAAAACTTACCCCCTCTTAGTTTTATTCAAAATTAATAAAACGTGAATTTCGTTAGAAAACGGTCACTTTTACTTCCGTTTAAAAATTTGTATAACATGTAGTATTTGGGCTGTAAACGAATTCCAACATTATAGCGCCATTCTTGAGGGTGCTCAGAGGTTCCAAGAACAATTTCATGTAGTTCTGTACAGCCATGACAACTTTATAGACAAAAATTTTCAGAATGGCAATGTGGGGTTATTTGGCCGGGTCTAGCGGGGCAACTTGGCCGGTGCGTTCAGAGTCACTATGCTGGGACAGCCGTGTTGTCATGGTCAATTATACCATAAAGGACATGATTCATGACCAACTTTGACTACCTTGATGCCATATTTCCTATTGGACAGCTGTAAGGGCATGTGACGTCATCAAAGGTTACCCAACGCTTTTTGGCTAATAAATACTTACAGAAAAAGATACAGCCGCGCAAATGGTCTCATTGTGTTCAGCTCGTCAAGGCGCATCGAATGATATGCATGATATACATGATGACATGATGACTCACGTAACCTTGAGGTCAAGCGACCTGAGGTAACGTGACCTGAAGCCAACCTTTGACCTTGACCTCTCGAGGTAAACACATACATGTTTCGATGCGGAATGACGAGAGAATTACGATGGTACTTTTAGTTTTGGCCTAGCTTGATTACTTCAAAAGTTATTCGTAAAAAACTGTCATCGCATCTAGAGCCGCTATTTTGACTATTTTCGACCCCTGTGACGGCTGAGTCAACCTCCAAAATGCTTCAAATGCGTCGTAGGACAAGCGTCATTGCTGAATGTGAAGCTGACTCGCCTATAACGAAAATCATGGCCTCAAACTAACACCGGCCAAATTGCCCCACACCCCCGGCCAAATAACCCTGCTAGTGGGGCAATTTGGCCGCTTTGCAGACCTTTGTAATACGTCACAATTTCAATATAAGTAGTTACTCTATCATTTCAATTTTACTGTCCAGTAAAGTAAAATGTATGCCACACCTGTCAGCGTCGAGAAATTGCAGAAATGTGTTGTCATTTTTTAGTTACATCGTTTTCTAAAAAAAAGCGGCCAAATTACCCCACTCTCCCCTAGGTACCTATGTAGCAAAATAAATTATCTGGGGCGTCTTGCCCAAGGCTACCCTACTTTATACCCCACGTACATTTGCTATACGTAGGCTTTTGTACGGACGTACTTTTGTCCATACGTACTTTATCCCCTACGTACTTCTGGGATACGTACTTTTGTCCGTGACGTAGGCTTTTGTCCATACGTACTTTATCCCCTACGTACTTCTGGGATACGTACTTTTGTCCGTGACGTACTTTTGTCCATACGTACTTTTGTCCATACGTACTTTTTACCCTACGTACATTAGCTATACGTACTTTTGTCCGTGACGTACTTTTGTCCATACGTACTTTATACCCTACGTACTTCTGCGATACGTACTTTTGTCCCTGACGTACTTTTGTCCATACGTACTTTGTACAGTACGTACTTCTGCGATACGTACTTTTGTCCCTGACGTACTTTTGTCCATACGTTCTTTATACTGTACGTACTTCTGCGATACGTACTTTTGTCCTTGACGTACTTTTGTCCATACGTACTTTATGTTGTACGTAGTTTTGTGATACGTACTTTTGTCCCTGACGTACTTTTGTCCATACGTACTTTATACTGTACGTACCTCTGCGATACGTACTTTAATCCTACGTACTTTTGCTTACGTACTTTTGTCCTACGTACTTAAGCGATACGTACTTTTGTCCGTAACCCTCTTTACTCGCATGTGTATGCCTCCCCTTAAATTGACTATCTTTGCTCCCTCTCCGTTCTTCAGGCGGCGGCGCCATGCAGTGGCTGCGCCGCTGGGCCTACAACGCCTCCGGTTTCAACAAGCTCGGTCTCTGGCACGACGACTGTCTGTATGAGGACGACGAGGTGAAGGAGGCCGTCCGTCGCCTGCCGGAGCGTCTCCAGGACGACCGCACGTTCCGCATCACTCGCGCCATGCAGCTGTCGCTCTCACACCAGATCCTGCCCCGGGAACAGTGGACTACCTTTGATGAGGTGAGAGGACGGACGGCGCGCGGCGGACGGCCGTGGGTGCTGGTGGAGTGGGTGTGAACGGGTTTTGTCAGATGTGTGTTCTGGTAGCATAGTTGCATGTCGCTTTTGTTAGCCGAAGAGGGCTGTTATGTATATGAGTCTCTCAATTCTCATGTATGCCATGTATATCATGTCTACGCTCGAGTGTCCTTACAAAGGAATCTCGATTGTGCCATTTTCGAAGGTCTGCTTTCATCGACAAATTGTATCAAATGTCATAATCTCTGCTGCCTTGCTACCAAAGGAATGTAAATTATTACGTCCCTACTTGCGCTGTAGCGCCGCATTTGTCATTACCTACCCGATTAATAACTAGATGCCGGCAGCGCTCGTGCGTTGCCTTGGGCCAGAATTGGAGGATCCATAGCCCAATGAAATGTGCATTATTCTGGAGACCTTGCCTGGGACTACCATTGAACCGATTTTGAGGTTGATAGCTTAAAATTTCTTTGAGCCAGAGGACCTCACGTCAAAACGGTTTTCCGACCCCAGCACGTGCAGCCTGCACCCCTCGCAGACGGTGACCCCCCTGGAAACTGGTTCAAGGTGTTACCGATGTGTCCCGCCAGTATGGCTTTGCCCGTGACCTCGGGTTGACCTGTAGCCTTGACAAAAAATTTCGTGTCACCGAAACTTTGAAGCGGAATAGCATGTGCCACGAAGCACCGAGCGAACCGAGGCCAGCACCAAAAGTTTACCTCGCCGGAGACGAATCAAACGGTCCCACTTTCGTCCCGATCGGTCCACCCATTTTGACTCCAGGTCCAAAAAAGCTTGGACAACCTCACTCACATACTCACATACTCACTCACTGACAAACAGGTTCAGCCGAACTTTTTTTTCAGCGACCCACCAATGGGAATTTCCGGATGCAAAAGCATGCTATCGCATGCTTTTGATCCTCCAATTCTGGATCAGCGCTTGTTTCGCACTCTCCAAACCGTAATATCAGTTGCGCGATTCAGTGTCCCCTCCCCAAAGTAAGATGCTCTGGGTCCGTAATGCTGCACCACGGTCCATGACCGATACCCAGATACATACCCAGCTGGGGCAGTGCTGGGCAACTGCCATATTTAACTTGGCTTATGTATAATGGGATGACGCTCTTATATGCTGCCATCCCCTACCATCCGGTTACACGTAGTCACGTAACTGGAAAATGCAAACTTGTATGTTATTCGACGGGCCCGTCGTCTGTTTCAGGATATCCGGTACCTGAAGCCCTACCTGGAGGAGGTTCGGAAAGAGAACCGCGAGAAGGCGGAGTGGAGCAAGAAGTGAGAGGCTGGGAGCGGCACTAGTGAATTGCGCGTGAGGTCGGTGGTCGGGACGGTGGGCGACGCTCCATTGACATCTGTACTGATGTCTGGTTACCCTGAACCCCATATTGGAGACATCAGCGTACCTCGGCGGTGCGGGTACGCAATGAGAATGACCGACACAATATATGTACATAAATAGGAACGGTGTGTGGCCACTGGCCGGTCGATAAGCGATGCTCATTCGCGATGGGGTCCGTTCTCAAAGGGGAGAATACGCAACACTCAACGACACGCCCAATGGCCGTTTGTCTCCACTCCAATCCTGGCGGTTTTAACAATTACTCTACCATCTAACAGACATGTGCATGGATCCGAGAAAATGGGTCTGGGATCTGATCCCACAGATCCTGATCTCGGATCCGACGGGATCATAGATCCAGCTCTTTGATTTGTCGAGAGATCCGTAGGGATCATAGATCCAAGTTTAATTTTTTGCTTGGGATCCATCGAGATCATAGATCCTCGCTTATTTTTCGTCAACACAGAAATCCCAAAAATCACTTGTTTCAGCTCACAAACATTCTGTTTTAGTGATTTTATGTGATTGCACGTCATAATGCATAGTTTTGTGGCACTAATTGGCTTAGAAACACTTGTAAACCTGGTTCAAAAATTTTTGCGTGGCGGGATTCACTCAGATCACAGATCCACGTTCTTGATTTATCGTCAGATCCTATGAGATCATAGATCCAGGATAATTTTTTTTCACGCCGGATCCGGTGGGATCATGGATCCTAGTCTGCAGTTTACTGCGAGATCCACTGAGATCATAGATCCAGCACTCGGATCCATGCACATGTCTGCCATCTAATCACTCCACTTCACCTCACGGTCGACCGGAGGCCCCCCTTTCACTCGTAGCACGTTAATTGTACATGTATTTCTGCACAAACGGTACGCTGATAAACGATAATCACATGCTGCATTGTGACCGGCGCGAATTTGTCGGAGCGCGCCATCTATGAGGGACGGCCGGAACCTCGGACCAGCCGAGTTCAGCCCGCCCGCCGGCACGGGGCGCCGCGCGCGGTCTCTCTCTCTCTCTCTCTCTCTCTCTCTCTCTCTCTCTCTCTCTCTCTCTCTCTCGCACACTCACTCTCTGTCAGCGTTCGCCTCGCTCTCGTGCGTACAAAACGTATATGCCATCGGGCGCAGGTACGGAGTCGGGGTGCCTAGAACGGGCAGCTGCCCTGGGGCCGGGGGTCAACAACAAGCCGCCGCGTGCAAAGGGTCGGCGCTCGGGACCAGCCCGGCGCCACACACAGACACACAGACGGATGGCCGGGAACAAGCCACAGCCAGCCCCACTCATCGTGGATCTCGCACATACCGTACAGGCGTTGGCCGCTGAAATGGCACTGATGTCGCTAAATTCTGGTGGGGTGACATGTGTACCGACACCCCAATAATGCATTCTAGACAACCTTTTGGCAACTGCGTCTGGGATTTTGACATACAGCCCGCTACCCGCACGCAACAACGGCAGCAGTCAGCCAGCTCTGCTGGTCTGTCGGACCAGCAGTTGGCCAGCCCTGCTGGTCTGTCGGACCAGCAGTCAGCCCTGCTGGTCTGTTGAACCGGCAGTCAGCCAGTCCTGCTGGTCTGTCGGACCAGCAGTCGGCCAGTCCTGCTGGTCTGTCGAACCAGCAGTCGGCCAGTCCTGCTGGTCTGTCGGACCAGCAGTCGGCCAGTCCTGCGATCTGTCGGACCAAGCCAGCTGACGCATGACTGAAGTACAACCGTTACATAAAGCACGTACTCACTCACACAGTCACATACGACACATGTTAAACAGACAACTCTCAGCGGAGAACAGTAAAGAACTATGAAAACGAGACGTGTCACGCAGGCGGCGGTCGCACGGTTTGACACATGGTGATCTTCCGTTGGCAGGAGGGAGCTCGGGGCTCCTCCGCCGCTCGCCAAAACAACATCTATTGGCCACGGGGCGATGGCACATTCCATTACTAAACATCAACACCTAAACGGTGGCCGGCAGCGGACCGTTCCGTTAAAAATACGGCGGTTTGGCGGGCTCGTGTGGCGCGCGCCCGTTTCGCCGTGAGCGCGGGCCGAGGAAGATGGGGTCATGGTCGCAGCAGAACAGAGGGATGGCACCACCGGGCAGCGCGCACGTGCGCACGCTCACACTCGCATTGGATCCCGGCGCGCCGGGAAGTCTGAGGCAGTAGGTGTATCACCGTCCAGTCGCGCGGCCGGCCGGGCGGTCGGCGGTGGCGGGGGCGGGGGCGGCGGAGGGATGAGGGCGGCCGCCCGGAGACCAGCTCCGGCAGTCGGGCCCGCACCGCCATCAGAAATAACCAATACTGGCTACACAGAAGGACCTCACGGATACGGCGCCATTCCTAACACGAAAATATCGCCCGGCCGGAATTCGCAATCATGCCTAGCACGGTGAGCTCGCCGCAGCACCGGGCAGCTCACCAAATACACGTCACCGGAGTGTCCCATTTCGCTAACATCGACTGAACGTGTGCGCACTATTGCCGTAGTCTGTTCGTGCGCGGCGGCCGGCCAGTCGCGGGGCGCCGCGCGCGGCCGCGGCGCCCTACTGGTGGCCGGCGGCCGGGTGGCGTCAGTGGGCAGCCGCCGCCGACTCCTCCTCGGCCGGACTCGAGTCACCGCCGCTCTCCTCGGCAATGTCGGCCTGGGGCGCCGCCGGTGCCGCTGCCGGCGGCGGTGTGGGAGCGGCGGGGGGCGGCGGCGGCGGCGGGGGCATCAGGTCGGTCTGGCCGCGGCTCTCCGCCAGCTCCAGGTCACACCAGTACTGGTAGTTCTCCTCCAGTAGGTCCATCAGCTCAGGAATGTCAATCAGCGCTGTCGGAAGAGGTCAGAGGTCAGGTCATTTAATATCAGTCCCGGTCACGGCAGAAAAGGCAAGCAGACAACTTACTTCTACAAGGCCATACACGACTTAATCCTACCCAGCCTACATCTACCAACAAAATAGGTCGATTTTGCGGTTGGCCATGACCGAACACAGCAAATACACCTGCTGCTAACACGCTTCCGTCAGTTCCCTCGTATCACTCAGCGACCAGTAACCTTGACGTGATGTTTAACACAGGCTGAGTGGCGTCACTGCTATGGCGATGACGCACCCGAAAACGATGTCCGGCGGCGCGTAAATAGCATCCATCAATCCAGGTGCGGCTGTAACGTCCGCGGCCGACCTCCGACTGATTATTCCCCAAACAGCGGCCAACTCCAATGATAACACGCTCGCCAATAACACCGGAACACGAAATATTTACCGAGCCGAAAAATTAGCGGGCAGCTACCCGAAATATGTCCAGCACGCTGCCACTTTGGCAAACATTCCCAAACATTTAAACAGAATACGGGAGCGTCTTAATTCGGCATCGCACCGTCGAACACGTAGGGCGATTTAGCTGTGCGGTCACAAACTCAGCTATAGACAGCACGTTAGCCACGAATGGCACGAACAAATCGTTCTTGGAGGCGTGCCGCCACCGCGTATAACTCACAATCCCACGCCTCAAACATGCTGTTGATGAAGAACTCGATGAAGCCCTTCTGCGACTTGGGTATCGAGCAGGTGGCGCGGTCGAATATCGGCATCACCACCGGCAGGTTTCGCTCCTTTTCCACATCCGTCTGCGGAGGATAGAACATGACGTGTAAATAAGGGAGACGTGTGGGCATTCAGACATCACACATTGGTCACAGCACCGATTGCCGATCTCCAGAGCCCAGACTCAACATTAGACGCGTTTACATAGGGTTTGTTGCAAGCTTATTTCTCCGTCCGTGATGTTGCAAAAGATGCCAATGGTGCTTAACAATTTACAAAATGATCCCCTCTAAATATTTGAAGATCACTGCATCGAAATTATCGCCAAATTAACAAGCTAGAGCCTCGTCAAAAATGCTATGTAAACCGGGTTAATAACAATCTGCTTAACATCCCAGAAGGCAGAACCGAACCGCAACCGCTACGTCACCAAACTGTCGCACTACCATACCGTTCTCCCTTATCCCTAACACTTCCTATGCCATATCACCTACACTTGCTTCATCTTCTCTCAATCTTGCCCGAATTCAGCATTCGCCTGCGTGAAACATTTCTCATCCCGTCTCACCCACATGAAATACTCAACTCTCAACCCTGCTTATCTGTGCAAAACATACCTATCTCACCCTCTTTCTTACCTGTGTGAAGTACTCCTCGGCGATTCGTTTTGCCCACTCGACACACATGCTCTGTGGTCGGACGGGGTTGGACACGTCCGCGCACTTGATGAGCATCCGCTTGATGAGTACCACGTTGTCGGGAGTGCAGAGACGGTCAATGTCCAGTTCTGTCGACTGGGGGAGGGAGATCAAGGTGGTCAAAAACATACAGACTACAGACTGAGTGCAATGGCACTGCACCGAAGTGTGCACAGACGTCGGCTACAAGCAATACCAAATCTTTCGAATTATTGATGCAAAATGTAGGTCATTATGAGTATAAGTCAGCAAAGCCTGTAAAAAAGCCGACTCGTGTTTTATAACACGTTTTTAATGGATCCACTTCCAGAGTAATAAACAAGAATTCGACAAGCTGTTCCAAAAATCCTCCCGGCTGAGTCCACATTCCGTTACTGTTCTCATCGACCCACCGCTGTTCGCATGCATGTCGACAGTGGTTAGCGCTCACCTCGTCATCCGCCACTGTGGGCGCTGTGAACACATTGACGAACTTTGAGAGATGCTCGTAATGCTTGTTCATCTCGGTCGCCAGCACCATGTCAATGATACCGGTCCGGGTCCGCTTGTACGTAGCCTCGTCCAAGTCTGGAGGACAAGACCAGGAGCGTCAGTAAATGCACTGTCGCATCCACAGCTAGACACTTATGTAACAGCCACGAGCCACCACAGCAAACCGAACACAGACAACGTCATTACGTTCCACGTTAAACCGCCTCACAGAGCGCCATCAGTTTCCACCAAACGACCGTTCAAATGCACTGACGCAGTGCAACGTACAGCCGTGGCCGCGGCAGGCCGGATAAAATATGCATGTCCTGCTACCGACTGTGTCCCAATGGCCATTCCAATCGGTAACTACTCAGAGGGTAGTTCAACGCTGCCACTGCCACTACTGTCGCTGCGGCAGCTGTAGAAGCTGGACTTACTTTTGAAGATGTTGACGCGGTCGTCGGAAAGGGTGAGCTTGTAGGCGAACGCGGCATGATGTGACTCGAGTACGCTGATATCGTTGTAGAGCAGAGCCAGCTCGTTCCGCGAGTTGCACAGGAACGCACTGGAAGAGGGTGTTCACTGTGACACAGCTCACCACGAGACGATCGGCGAGGACCAGGCGAGGTCTTCAGGTCTTCACAGTGAGTGAGTGAGTGAGTGAGTGAGTGAGTGAGTGAGTGAGTGAGCGGAGGAAATGGCAACAGGTGTCTGTTACAGTCTGTGCGCAACAGGCTGAGGGCAATGAATAAGTAACGCACAACGTCAGGTGAGCTAGTCTGGGGCGCAGTCACCAGGAGCAATAGCTCTTTTCCGGACGTAGCTGGATAATCTGAATACTGCTCACTAAATTAGCAAACTTAGGACAAACTTAGCCAAGCTTACTGAGTTAACGAACTATTAACCCTAAGTGCAAAATCAGCAATTTCTCAGAAAAGCTCTTAGCTGTCACTTAGACAATCCCAATTCTGCCACACTAAAGTCGTCCGTCCCGTTCTCAACAGCAAAGTTCAGCCACCACCTAATCCAACCCCACCAATCATTCAATTCCTCTGTTTTCCTCCATTTTACCTGTTCTTGCCGGGATGGTCTACGTCGTGCACTGCCGAGGCTATCAAACAGATGGCCTCGTCGACGGCGTCGAACACGCTCTTGAGCCGCTCCTTTTCCAGGAAGTAGGCGGTACACTGGAGCACGTCGCAGGCGTGTGTTGAGTTGTGGTACGAATTGGAGGAGTGGTAGTGGGCCTCTGTGGGTGAGGTCAGAACAGGGTCAGGTCAGAGAAGAGAAAGGCCTTAGGTGAGCAGGCTAGCTCAGTCGGCAATGCACCAAGCATTTTTGTCCAGATAGTTACCTACCCTGGTTAGTGGCAGAAAATCATCATCTACCGGCGAATAGTGCCAGCAGTTAACGAAACACGGCCCGTCGGAGGGATAATTTGTACCTGCATATGATTCCCCGTTCAAACGTTTACATACCAAACGGTAATAGGACATTTTGACGGTGTCGATGTAAGCCCGTTATTGTCACCAGCAATGGAGGAGGAGCTCGGAAGCTCTCAGAGCACGTAGTTGAACTGAATGGCTGAGCTCCATCGCTGATATAATAAGAGGTCCACTTCCTGGTATTGAATAAGCCTCATCTGCGCCACTCGCTCCAACGACGGCAGCTGCGATTCTTGGAGCCTCCGGAAGTCTCTAGAGGCGTAATGGGAATTTAGTGCCCAGCCTGGAGCCGAGCCTACTCACCAATCAGATTGAGCCAGTTCTCCAGAGTGCTGATATCAATACTGAGTGTGTTTGGCACGTCGAATTTGAGGAAGACGTCCATTCCCATCCATATGAGCGGCCTGCAACAGGAGACAGAAGAAGTGAGTGGGGAAGTCAGATGCTGGAAGACTTGTACAAAATAGCAGCCCATCGCCATCCTTATATCACATCACGGTGACACAGCACAACCCGTCCGTCCCCTACGTGACCCGCGCGTGGGTCTCGGCCCCCTCAGACAGCCCCCGGCTGGCGACGGCGCGTCGCCGGTAAACTGTTACCGACGTGTTTGGTGTAAACTGACTGCGACAGAGTGCTGCCGGGCCGGCCGGCTCGGTGACGTGGCCGATTGATTCAGAGCCCCGCCCGGCCCTAACCGACAGACACCAGCTGGGCGGTCATTTGTCTGGATCTGTCCGGGGCATTAGGACATCGCCGCGGAGAGGCACTCGGTCGGCCGGTCCCGGCGCGCGGTCCGACACCCAGGAGCCCCGCTCACCGCTTGTTGGTTATCTTCTCCAGCTGGAAGATGTCGAAGTCCCAGCGCATGTCGCGCTCGAGCAGGCTGCAGATGGCCGTGGAGTTGGTCTGGATGTTGGGCAGCGACGGCCGACCGGTCCGGTGTCGACCGCTGCCCTCCGAGAGGCGCCGCGCCACCGTAGACTCGGAGGAAGGAGATGGGCCGTGCTGGCGACGGGATGGAAGGGGGGGGGAGGGTCACTCTGAGGCGGACATTGGGGAGAGAGTGGTCAGCGAATAGAGGGCGGAACACTTTGTATGACTTACAGGTAATACCAGGATAAAATGTGATCAATGATCGGTTCCGGCGAGGACCGCCCAGGTTGAACAAAGGGACAAACGTGGCAGACAAGATAACTGGCACACACTAACACCAAGCATACTAGCTCCGCCCTAAGTCCATCTCATGCACAACACAGAGCCACCTCATGAGCCTCCCTAAAGCCAGAGCAGGGTTGACGGTGACTAACCCGCCAGCGGCAGAAGCGCACAAGTCCGTCAGGTCACGCCCTATTTATAGTTCCACCAGCATAAAAGCGGCCTAGCCCGCGACCAGACGCGCTTTATGACATCCTCCGGACCGGTCGGGGGTCATACGGGTGAATCTCCGCAATCGATAGGCCGGTGAGCGCGCTTCTTACCGAGAGCAGCGCCCCAAGCAGGTCATTGGTGACCGGGTCCTGCATGGGAACCGTCTCCTTCCCCGGGACATTGAGCTGTGGGGAGTAGAGTTCGGTCGACTTGAGGATCTCCAGTCCCTGTTGGGCAGACAGAACGGTTGGTTAGAGCGTTTCTGGTCGGCGGGTGAGACGCTAGTCGAGTTGCGAACCACTCGAACCGCGGGTGGACTCGCTCGAGCGACGACGTCGGGTCGCCCATTCGCCCTCTCGCCGTCTCTAGCGATCGCCCAGCCATTGGAACGAGCAGAGCGAGCTATCTTAGTCCCAGTGTATCACCACAGCTCGGCCCAGCCCAGCGCAGCTATTATGACAGCGAACGATGAGCGACGTGCATTAAACAAACGGAGCTGGCCGGGGCGGGGCAGCCGTCACTGTGGTCCGATGGTGCCCCACTGCCCTAACAATCGCGTCCCGCTGCGCCAGTCACTCCTACAGGCTTCCCCGACAGACAGACAGACAGACATACAGACAGGTGTCAGTTCCCAGTGACAGGACATCCATCATCCATTCAGCCCACGACGTACCCGCCGCAAACCCTTCCTAAATGACACCTCATACACCAGACAGAAAGCAAATAAACACGCCGACTTGGTTCATTGACAAGGCCGGCAGTACAGCATGTAATCATATCCCGACCTGGCACGGATTAACACTCACACCATAGACTATCATCACCCCTCCTCAGCAGCGACTAGGGAGACTCACCTTTTCCAGTGCCTGTGCCACATACATGGGCGCCGCCTGCTGTGCCGCCAGGATGATTCCGATCACTTTGGTGATGGGCGCCTCGATTCCCGGCGGCACCTTGGCCAGACTGGAGCGTCGTACGACCACATGTGAACCTGACACGGACGAGAGGGGCGAGGTCAGGACAGAGCACGGGGAAAACGCACAGTGAGATCAAGGCCAGGGTACATCGGGGGGGGGGGGGGAGGGATTCAGGTCACATCGATCACGTCTATTCATCACATCGATAGGTGGATTTCATTGATGCAGTCTTAGCCGGCATGTGTGAGTAATGCCAGCATTGAGCAAACAATACCTGTCACAGAACGGTAGCCAAAATTCAGTTCTTGCCGGTGTACGGCCAAAACCTGGATAATATAAATTTTACAACATAAAGAACATAAGCAAGCCACGTTACAGTCATATATAAGCAGCATTTGAGACGGATCAAAATCATATGTACACACTTTGCAGAGCGTAGATCGGAAAGCTGAAGCTCATGCTACAAATGATCATGCACATTTGGTGTAACCACCTAAAAGCATACAGACGGGAGAAGAGATCTGTAGGTGCATAGGCGTTCCGAATTCTGCCATAAATAGTCGATAAAAACTATAGACTACTATGTAAAGCATTCCCCTGGCACAAAACAGTAGGTACACTATGCGCATTGCACATGGGAGTTGGGACAGCACACACCATAAAACGTTATCACTTTCGAGTCCCATTATGGTGTACTGGGCACTTGGAAGAGGCACTAGTGAGCGACATTACTAACAACATTCCACAATATAATGAATGCCATAGCTCCCATGCAGCACACGGCAAACCATGCCAATTTTTTTTTACATTCTTGGTCTCACTGTTGGACGGTCATTTCTCTACCTCTGCATCTCGACTATTTTCGACTATGGGTATTAGTCCTACAATATCCAGTCTACAACTGAAGACTAGCCTATGGATAAATAACTCCATCTCCAGTGACACACTGGTCTCTTGATGGGGCAAGACGGAGCAACAGGACGGCCAGTTTTCACCCAAAGGATCCGAGGTATTAGGAGGCGTATGGACGGCAGACGACAGACAGACAAATATGTAGGACAGACAGACAGAGAAAACAGACAGAGACAGAGACAGACAGATGGACGAACAGCATATGAGAGAAAACGAAATATACCAACGAGCGGACGGACAAATGACATACGAACAAACGAACGAGAAACGGTGAAACGAACAAGCCAGCGAGTGAACGAACGAATGTGGGGACGAACAGGCGGACGAAGAAAGGAACGAGCCGACGAACAATCTGAACGGACAGACAGAGACAGACTGGACAGACCGAGGAAAGATGGATAGACGAATGGACGGGCGGATGGACGGACAATTTAGCCCCTGAATACGGCCCAACGAGGCACACAATCCCGCTACCTGAGCGTTGGCGCACATGGAGCACGCGTCCTATAAGCCCGAGGCTGCCACCACGTTCCCGCCCATCACCGGCCGCCGCCGCGGCGGGGGCGGGGGCGGCGGCGGCGGCAGGGTCGCCCTCGGGCGGGTCCTCGTCAGTCGAGGCCGCCAGCAGCCGCTCTAGGTCCTCCAGTGCTGCTGAGTGCCGAACACAGCGGGGACGGATGCAGAGCGGGTACAGGGTTAGCACAGGCGAGCCAGCGGCAGCGGTAGAGCCAAGGGTCGGTCAGAGGCGAGCCAGCAGCCGGGGGTCAGCCAGCCAGCCAGCCATAAAGGCAGGTTCATACGGCGAGGCCGACATACATACAGATCCGTTAGTGTTCGCGATAAGGCTAGTGTCGGCTTGTCCCGACAATCCGGCACTAGTGAACATGAGCATTGATTTATTACCTGGGTCGTGTTAGCGTTTAACTGCATGTCAGCCTCACGGTATGAACTGCGCTTAGTCCCACAAACATGCCACCATTTCAGCCAGAGAGCAAAAAGAAACGTTAATTGAAGATAAACAGTTGTTATATACATTCAAAGGGTAACGTCAACAGTCTGGTACAGCTTGAAAAGACAATGACCAATTAAAAAATGCATTATAATTAGGTACATGACGAGGACATGCTGGATAAAAATGAGTTGACATACAGTTCAGAAAACATGGAAGAGGAAAATCAAAGGGAACGTTTTGTGAGCGAATTATTTATGGTCAGACAAGTTATATTATAAGTGCATTTAGTACCTTTGCGCACATCAATATAAACCTGCTGAAAACACGGCTTCAAAACATACAACGATGGGGTTGATTTGGCATTAAATGGATATGCAACAAAAAAAAAAAAAGAACGGCAGAAGCGGGTCATGCGCTTGGCTGTTAAATCTGCGCTGTGACTGGGGCAGCCCCCTCCAGCGGCCAGTCACCACCCTCCACCACCCACCATGGGTTGACCATTGTCCTCTGGCGCCTCACCGCACACGGCGCCGGGCCGCGGTCGGCCGCTCACCATTGCTGGTGGTTCGCAGGTCGAACGAGGGTTTCCGTAACGAGCGGACGCTGGCGCGGGTACGGATCCGTGAGATGGGCGGTGGTCGGTCGAGCACGAACGCTGGACACTCCTTCACAAACACGAGGTGGTTCACCGCTCTGAAAGAAGTTGGGGCAGAAGGGGAAGTCAGAAACCAGGCATGGACGGACGATGGCGAAGACGGACGCTGGCGCTGGCAGAAGCGAACAATTTGCTGCTGTTTAGCGTTACATCGAACCTGTATCCCCAACGTCAAACTCGACTATCCCACGTCATCACACAGCTATCTCCACCGCAACATCTGCACCAACAACCCTTCTTTCCCTCATCGTTATAAGGCACTTCATCCCACCCCTTCCTCGTCACACAACTAACCTCATCGTCACAGCACTATACCTAGGTATAGTATCTACTATAGGTTTCTTATAGGTTTCTTCGTTACCTACCCTCATCGCCACACCACGTTCCACCCCTCACCATCCCCCACGCACTAACCGTCCTCCGGCGGCGACGGGGAAGGCGCGGCACGGCAGCAGCAGGTTGTCGCCGTTTCTTCTCCGACACATGAAGTGACCGTCGAACTCCCGGCCCTTACTCAGCTGGGACACCAACTGTTCAGCCTGTTCTGGCCGAGTCATCTCCAGCTGGTGGACCTTGAGTAGGTGGTGGCCGACGATCTCGTCCCGACTCAGGCCCAGCACGTCCAGACACGTCCGGTTCACGTACTGAAAGCCAACGAGGAGATGTCTTTGTGAGCGACGGATGTGGGGCCGGGGCGCGTTTTGGAAGACCAGCGAAGCTCATGGCATGTCACGCAGTCACAACAGGCAGGCAAATGTTGCGGAGTAAAGATTCGAGGTTAGTAGGCACTCTCATGCTGGTGTTCAAACCATAATATGTCAAGAACACTAGCTATAAACAGGATCTTATGCGCAAACAAACGAACACGATTATCGAATCACATTTTGTCCCACTGAATTCTGTCGCGGAAATACGTAAATAAAATAAGACATCAAAAGCACACTCTCTCTTCCTCTGATGTCAGTGCTCAACACCAACGCTAGGTTCCTACGTCCTCTGTCATCCTGTCACCAGCTGTCTGAAAAGGGAGTCTACGAGTATCTATCCTGCACGAGTAAAACAATCTCGGTCCGACTGCGCTGCAGCAGCGCTGCAGCTGCGTGAGGTCGAGCTGGCTGACAGCAGCCCGCCCCGCTCCCTTCCAGGTGTGGTCGGCTCGCCAACACCCGCGGGACCGGCATTATTCAGCCAGCGAACGCATTATGCAGACATTGAAGTACATTAGACCGGCCTAGAGGCACATTAGACGCACGGCCGCCCCGTCCCGTTTGGCCTGCGTATCGATTCGAGCCGCCGGCTGGTGTGGCGCCCGCCGGCGTTCGCTCCTGTTTGCCCGTGCGCGGTGGCAGGCGGCGGGGATTCGGTGGTGGGTGCATAATTGGTCCAGTCCGGCCGCACAGCACACACACATATACACAGTACAAACGGCTGGTGCAAGTGTCGCCCCCCCCCCGCGCCCCGCGCGCAGACACTCCCTGGTTGCCCCCCACCCAGCGGTGTATGGTGCAGGCAAGCGGCCCACGCGGAACACAGAAGGCGGTTGAGGTCGTGTCACACTTCCAAACCCGTCCAATCAAACTACTCGGCAGCCCGCATCCAACACTAGCTGCTTGTACAGTCAAATCGGAGGTGCGCACCTCGTAGGGCACCCAGTCACGAGTCGACACAAAAGCTCTTTTGCCGGTATTGGTGCTGTTTTTAGATGCAACTGTGAACTATAGGTCTCATTCACCGAGTTTTGCAACCCATCTTCAGTATTCCTGAATGAAAAGATGGTTTAGACTTAAGCTTCAATGGTGACTTTCAGAAAATTCTGAGTAGTGATTACCATGCATATTGCATATGTATATGCATAAATAATTTCGAAAAGTTCCATACCATAAAAGCAGTGAAGTTCCTAGCTTTCACTGAAAGGAGCGCACAAATGGGAAAACACTGTGTAATGTTAAGCTTGAAGGGCACAACGACCATGTACCTAACCTAAGGCAGGCATCGCACTGTCTTTCACATTTTCCCAGAAGCTGCACCTGCACGTCTGCTCGCTATTCCACCAATACAGCGCTCACGCTTCACCACAATCCTACACCATCCTCACCAGCACTTACCACCACCACTCACCAGCATCACCAACCCCGTCTCTCGTACTCGTACTCACCAGCACGTTGTACTCGTGGTCCGTGATTTCCACGATGTCCCTGGACTCGTTGAGTGCCGTGAACAGTGCGTCAGTGGCGTGCAGGCGCGCCTGCGGCTCAGCGTCGCTCTTCACCAGCAGCTCCAGCTCGTTGACGCAGAAAGATTCGCTGGTGTTCTCGACAAGCCACTGTCGAAGGAGGAACACCGTCTAGTCAGAATTTGTTGATGAAGTTGAGCACGTAGGATCAGACCAAAGATCAGACATGACACTGGGTCAAGCAACCGTCATTAGAAAGGAAGAAGTCGGTAGAAAGGAACAACGTCCGGTCAGAAGTTGTTGATGATGACGTTGAGCGCGTAGGATCACACCAAAGATCATACACTACACTGGGTCAAGCAACCGTCATTGGGGCAGGAGGGTGACATGGTTCAACAACGACGCACGTTGAATGGGCTGTGGATAAACGGTTGGCTACGGAGGAACCCCGTGAAGACCGGATAAATAATACCTAATCTATAAGATAAATTTACTTATAACAGGCGCGAAGCCAAGTCATCCAAGAGATTGATGGGCACCGCATGTAATGAGAGTGCCGAGTGGGTTGAACTTCTGGGACCGGCGAACATAATCATTGTTCATAAGTGATGACGACATTGGGGTTATAAGGTACGCTAGCATAGAGTGTTATACGGCGCCAATATAACGGCCTAATTCATAAGCCATATGACATTTTGATTGATATGTAACATGGCCTCAAAGGACTACCTCCACATTGAAGTGGTTAAGTCACAGCGCAAATACGACAATGCCAGGGTAGCAGACTTTCTAAGCGCGCGAAAACACATCGGCCAAGAGCACAACAACAGCGCAATGTCGTACAAATTTAGTAGATAGGTATGTACCTATTCAGATTTACACGGCCGAAATTCACCGTCCCACGCAAACGACAGCTATATCTACCTGATCGTGGAGGAAGAGTCGGAATACAATAACCTCTATAAGTCCACCCTCAGCTCAGATCATGTAATCACGGCGGATATCGGGGACATCCGGCACGCATCTGGGTACGGCGAACCCGGCTCGGCTCGGCTCGTGCCGTAATAACGTTCGGCGACGGGCTGCGTGTCTGGCGGCCGGGGAGCGGGCGGGGCAGCTCCTCCAGTAACTGGATGACGCTGACCGAGTGGACGTCACATGTGTCCCGGCTAATCACATCGCGTGCTCTGGGGCCGTCTGACCGGCCACGAGAGCTCCCGGCGGGACGCCGGCCTGTCCCAGTGCGGTTCGCGGTGGTAGTCATGACGATATCGGTGGGACAGCTCTTCTTAACCCGGTCCGCCGGGGTAGGGAGGAGGATGCCGGTGGTGAGCGCCGAGCGGTCACATGGGGAGATCAAAAACTGCCTGAGACGGAGCTAACGTCGACCCTGATACGGAGCTAACGCCGATCCTGATACGGAGCTAAAGGTGCGATCCTGACACGGAGCTATCGTCGATCCTGATACGGAGCTTACGTTGATCCTGATACGGAGCTATCGTCAATCCTCATACGGAGCTAACGTCGACCCTTATACGGAGCTAACATCAATAGGTACTGATACTGACCTAGCGTCGATCCTGATACGGAGCCAAAGTCGATCCCGATACGGAGCTAACGTCGATCCTGATAAAGGTGCGATCCTGATATGGAGGAGCTATCGTCGATCCTCATACGGAGCTAACGTCAATCCTGATACGGAGCTAACGATGATGCTGATACGGAGCTAACATCGATCCTGATACGGAACTCACGTCGATCCTGATACGGAGCTAGCGACGATACTGATACGGAGCTAACGTTGATCCTGATACGGAACTACATCCGGAGCTACCACTGCACTGACTCGCAGAACTACGATACAAAATAACGCCGGTTCCGATGCGGAGATGAGCCTTCACACTAAGCTAAAACACGGGGAGCCACCACCTTCCATCAGTCCTGACGTGGAGCTACCGCTAGATACATGTGGCTTTAGCATATAGCACAGGGCTCAAACATAGAAGGGGACGGAGTTACAGAGACGGCCACCTGCTGTTCGCCTGGCCAACACTCGACGCGGACAAGACCCACACAACACGATACCACCCACCGCCAGCGCTGTCGCTATCTCCCAGAACACCGACCGCCGGGCATAGTTCGTAAACTCGGCCGGAACATAGTTCGTAAACTCGGTCGGGACATAGTTAGTAAACTGGACGTTTAATTAGTGGTCTGCGGGCGGCGCCGGCAGGCTCCGAGTGACGTCACGGCGCGATTGTGTCGACGGTCGGCCGACGGCGGCGGCGCTGACAGCTATTGGCGAGACTGGGTCAGCCTGACGTCCACCGGAACACACCAGACAGACGGACGCAGAGAGTGGGCCTACAGAGAGGTGGTGTGATATGGCCAAGTAGAGGGCCGAGCGATCCGCAACAGCCTCTCTCCCCCCCCCCGCTCCCTTACTGCTAGACGGCAGCAGGAGCGACCAGACACGCTCGCAAAGAGCACACTGCTGAGGGCGGAGCGACGCCGCACGTGCCCACACCAGCCTAACCGCGACCTATGACCTCTCCGTGACCCGACGGTCGCCTGATGACGTTCTCTCACGGCCAGCGGCAGCTGCCGCCCCGCCAGCTTACCCTCCAATGGTGTGCATTATGAGCCACCAAATTAATCACAGCAGTTAATATAAGGTGCTCTCCTCATCTAATATTGGGCTACTCCGAGGCTCGCTGGTATATACGGCGCGGCGATTTACGAGTCACGCTGCGCCAAGATGAGTAATCTCACGGCGCGTTTGCCGGCCGGGCGCGTCCGTCATCATCCGCTGTTGCACATGATCCTGTCAGCGGGCGATGTTTGTCCCGCGGGGGCTGTGTATGATCGGTGGACCGCACCCGCGGGGGTCGGGTCGGACGGGGCGGGGTGGCGCTCGGCCGGCCGGTCGGCGGCCACTCAGCTCCGTCGGCCAGCGCTCGGCGAGCAGTTGGCCGACCGAGCCGCCGCCGTCGAATCAATACGCGCTGGGCTCTCCTGGAGCCGCCGCACCATGGCTAATGTGCCCTTTACGCCGCGCCGGCGGCCGCTCGGCTCACCTGGGGATGGCCCTCTGCCTGCCGCTCTCGCACTCTGCCCGCTCCCGGGAAGGTTTCTGTCGCAGTTCAATCAGCTCCAGGAGTCGACCAGAACTGCGGCCGGCTCAATGTGAGCCCCGGCACTGGGGGGCTACATGGCGAGCATGGATACTGGATAGGAAGCGTTCCACCACGCGCCGAGGCACAGTGTGTGGTTCATTTCCGGTGTAGATTCGCTGTGCTCACAAATGGTTTCGTCCGAATCGACGGTATGTGTCCTATGTCAAATGATTTCCCCAAAAATAGGTACTATGGTACTATATATATATTGCCTTGTACAAATCGGCGAAGGATAATAAGATAACCACATAAAGCCAACACTTTACTTACTGAACTGCGCTGCAGCCAGATATTTCTTGTTGACAGGTACTTATACCTACTCATTGAATTTACACGATTACTTCCACTTAGTAGGAGCTCCAGACGGAATATACCTAATACTATAATCAACGCGTGCCAAATAAGCTCCATTGCCATTGTAAACGTATAAAAAATGCTACCCATATCAAACCCTTGATCAAACCAACACCTTCCTCCCGCGAACGACTGTCCTGACTCGACCGGCGCGCACAATCAGGAAGAGGAGCCCACGGCCCGGTGCAGTGAGAGAGTATCGAGCCGAGCGGTTTCCCACGTGTAGGTCGTGTCGGTCGTGCGGCCCCCCACCGTGTCAGGGGTGCGGCACACCGGCCGGCCACCGTAAGCCAACAGGTTGGGGCGGCCGACCGAACATGTTGGCGAGTTACGGCTCCCGACCGCGGCACGTAACAGGCGCGGCACATGGGCAGCGAGGCCATCGGGTGGCTGCCGGCCGGTCCTCAGCGGTCCTGAAGGAACTGAAGAGATCCTGAACGATCCGGAGAGATCCTGAACGATCCGGAGAGATCCTGAACGATCCGAAGGGGGATGCTGAACGATCCGTAGGAATCCTGCCGCGCAATACTGCTCCGATCCTGCTCCTGTCACGAGCGATACTGCTCTGATTCTAAGCGATCTTACTGAGAGATCCTGTTCCAATCCTGTTTCGATCTTGTTCCTATCATAAGCAATCCTACAGGCAAAATTACTTACAGGTACCCAACGGGATTGAGACGGGGCTGGACGAAGAAGGGATATAGAGACCGGGTGGAGACGGGAGGGAGACGAGAAGGGACTGGGACGAAGCGGAGACGGTATAGTGGAGACGGGAATTGATGCCGAAGTGGAGCTGGACAGAAGCGGAAGAATTTAGGTAAATGTCACAACATGCCGGCGGAAAAATTATTTACGAAAACGCAACCATTCTGTCCCCGAATCAGTTCCGTAATCGAAGTGTTAGTCCGATCGAAAGTCATGGAAAGTTGTCCCAAGCCATGGAAAATTAAGTTGGAAATCTTCAGGACTTAACCCTCGCCCGCATATGCCATTTTCCCATCCTAGAACGCACATGGGGGGGGGGGGGGTTGCCACCCCCCCGCGCCATTTCGTTCCTGTTGGAGATAGAGCTTAGCAGTAAAGACCAAAAAGATTCTTTGGGAAGAGACGAATCCAATGATACCCAGTTTTACCTTCTCAGGTCAGTCATTGACCTTCCAGGTCAGGTCAAACTAAAAAATGTTGCTGTTTTGGGTCATCGTTGGATATCAAGTGCGCTGCTTATCAAATACCGATGACGATGCTGTTTTCTGGTGCCAAGCCAGCTAGAACCTCTTTGTCACACTATCCGACCAGAATTTTGCTGCTGAGGTCATTTGAGGTCAAGTTAGGTCAAGGTCAATTATATGTGTTTGTATGTCTCTGTGTGTCTGTGTGTATACTGATGTGTGCACCGATTGTTTTTGGGTCCATATCTCATGAAATCATGATCTGAGAAGCTTTTACCAAAAATGCAGTCAAAAAACTTCACAAAAGTAAATTCAGCTTGCCTAAAACGCAATTATCTTAGATGACCTAGGTTGACCTTGACCCTGACCTTGACCCCTGTACATCGTCGAACAACATGTTCCATGATAGGTGGGAGGTAAGACTGGCAAAAAAGGCCGAAATCAGGGTGTCAAAAGCTCACAAGGCCCATGGCAAACGCAAGATGTTGAGAATTGGCCATTTGGGTCATGACATGACCTGAAAAACAAGGTCATATCTCCGAAACCAAAAATCACAGAAACTTGAAATTTTCAGTGGACATCAAGAAAGGATAGACGAGCAGCTATACGAAAAATCAGCCTTCTAGCTCTAAAAATGTTGAGTGCAGAGCAGAAAGACTGCCTGGGGGGGTGGCAACCACCCCCCCCCCCCCCATGTGCGGGCGAGGGTTAATAGAAGTGATTCCCTGGAGTCCTTGGATATAGCTAAATGACGAACAAACGTATCAAACAGATAGAGCTATACCCAATGGGTAGGTAGGCATTGACCTTGTTCGCCATGAAAATATCAAACGTAAGGCCGAAGTCACCCACTAGACCAAAAGGAGTGTTGTCACTCATGCAATGGCGTTGCTAAGTGCAAGCAGTTCGGATAAAGGTACCGATTAACTTGCAATTGCCGTCATGCACTATTTTCGAGCACACCACTGAATTAAAACGTTGCTGGGAACGATCTCGTGGCTCGTCGTTGCATGTTGTAATGCTGGGAAAGTGATTATGCAGCGCTGCGTAATTAAATATGTAAAATAGAAATAAAATGGCTTGGGGACATAAAGAATGTCATGTGTTTGCGCATAAGAAACTAATTCAAGACAAATCCCTGCCAAAAAGAGCCGCAGGTACATACCTAAATTTCTAGAGGAAAAGAATGAATAAGATAGCTGAGGAAAAATTTCCTTCGCATGTGACTGATGAGTTGATGATATGTCAGCAACAATGCAGCAAAAGAAAACAGTGAAAGTGTTTATTTAATAAGGCAAACACATAAGCAGTGAGCGACTGGACCGGTACCAAACTTTGTTACCGGCAAGTGACAACAACTGTTCTGTTGCAATAGGTGAAACGGCGAAAGTACTGAATAAAAAGTCATTTCCTTCGCAAAACCAAAACTACTTTCCCGCAGAATACATCAAAGAAATTCATTAAAAACTTTTCCAGCTCCTGTTCACGAACTAAGATGTTTTCGGCAAAGTTCTCTGCAGCGCACGTGCTCACGCCCTAAATCCAGAGGCCGGACAAATAGGCCGAGCTTTGGCCGGATTACTGCCAGTTGGCGTTAATTGCAATACGTTGTAAACCGGAGCGGGCAAATACACGAACACTTCCACACCGCATTGCTTAGTGCTAGCTAAGTGCCCCGAGCTCAGACGATTTCGTCAGTGGGTTTTGTGGCTCAACAAGCCCGGAACAGCGGATGACTGACCTGAGGATAGGTCTCTAAACTGTGAACGAGTTAAAACTACAACTCTGGTCTCTGACTCATCGGTTTACAATGCCCTGGGTGAGACACGATTCCAAACGTGTTCGCTTCTAGAGAAAACAAGCAAAGCACACAGACTCAAACACAAAAGCACACTGGCAGCAGTTGAAGCTGCGCTAGGGGTAGCGACTCACCCGGTTGAAGCCCTTCTGTAGGATGGAAGTCGCCGCGCCGTCCTTCGAGAGGAAGCTGAAACGGTACAGCGCAGCGTTAGGAAAGTGACTGAGATACCGTCAGTGCCGCCGGCATCACGCCTATAGGCACGATGCAGAGTCACCCTTATCTTTGCACATTTAAGCACGGAAAACGAAAGCATTCTTAAAACATGTAGTTACAATTTAATGGTTTTCACCTTGCCTGCTGGCAAAAACAATTAGCGGTGTGTTAAAGAAGCTGTTATCGTGTTATTACATCTCATAATTTGGGCGGGTGACATTCGTTTTAAGGCTGAGTCCATCATTATTAGTAATATAAAGACACGATCGGGTGGAATGGCATCATGGGCGCCCTTGGAAAAACCTGGACCGTCCGACATCATTGGAGACCGCTGACAGTTATTTGTAGCGGTGGACGGGATACAGTCAAGATCCAAGGTCCCCAGTGTGGGAACCTCAGAACGCCTTTCGAAAGTCTTCGACGGCAAATAAAACGAACATGAAGAATAAGAAAATCGTGTAAAAAAAACTACACAAGCTAGGCCGTAAGGGGCGCAAAAAACATTCATCTTATAAGTTAATCAGCTGATAGCTACAGCCTATATTATGACCGTGATATGATACATTTGAGGACCACCTCTAAATAGCTTTGCCTACATATCTCTATGTGCGTTCCAATATAAACGTCCGGGACCGCCACCCAGATGACTCGTTGTGTCCATCTGGAGGACACGCGTGTCCGCCGGATAACGGATCCCACGGTGTGCCAGGCACGACCAGGGCACACCCTGTGGTGCCGTCGAAATTTACGCGACGGGTTTCCCAGCACGACCGTCGCGCGTCGTCCGGGCGACGTCCCAGCGCTCTGCGGCCAAAATAGCTGAGGCTGTGTTGCAGACACATAAAGAGCGTTCAGCACAGAGAGGAACAGTCCTAATCTCGGTCACACATGCCGCTCGGCTGATTGTGACGCGGGAAAGTTGGTCCGCAGCGGTGGTAGCGTCAGAGCAGTTTGGTCCGGGCGACGGCAGAGCGAAGCGGCTGGGAGCGTCCCAGAGGCTGAGAGTTCTGAATAGACTTAACGGCGCTCAATACTCCCTCTTCCCATGGGCTTTAGCCCCTTGGGCACATGCAGCACCAACCGCGAGCAAACTGACAGTTACGCAGGTACCTATAGGCAATTAAACGGAAAAACATTCACGCTCACTGAAGCTTTGCCGCGATCAAGCAAACACACTGTTTGGCAGCTGCAGCAAAGCTCCCATTCCGATATCACGGTCACACTACATCGCCGCCGGTCCGTCGGACACGTGTTTCTGTCCAGCCCGCTAATATTGATGGACGGACACACTGTGAGCACACCGACGACACCGACGCGACGCTGACGTCACGAATGACGTCAGGCTGCCGTCACGCTGACGTCACCCACCTTTTGCTGACGAGCGCCACCATGACGGCACAGCAGCTGGGGTTGCTGGTCCGCAGCTGTCTGAAAGGAAAGCAGGCGTGAGTGGGCCGATAGACCATAGAGCAGCGCATACAATACAGCCATAGAGGCATACACGAGCAGTGATACACACGTAGAAGGACGAGCACAGATTCGCACACGAAACGCTTTATACATGCAGTACTAAAGATGGGTATATTGCGGAAAGCGTGGCGTTCGATAGGCTATTAGCGTGTGTTTGTGTGTGTGTGTGATTGAAAAGAAGAACACTGAAACAAGGCTGTGTCGATCTCGGAGTGCGAGGATATGATTTTCGCGAGGATTGGAGCGTCATGTCCGGGTCAGAAGCACCGCCCGGCACGGTGTGACCAAGGACTTACGATCGCCACCTCGCCATCGTCCCCACTCTCCCGCTGCTGACATCACACGCCGCATAGTTCCCGCATGACCAGCAGACGTGCGTCCGATTAGAGCCTCCAACAATGCGCGGTCGTGACGGTGCTAGAAGAGCGACCTCGGAGCCGTGGGAGCTGCGACCGGCCGGCCGACACCATCGCGCACGATCGACCGCGCGGGCATTCCTCGCCATCTTGCTCTCCTGTTCCCTTCCTCTATTTCTGTCTCTGTCTCTGTCTCTGTCTCTGTCTCTGTCTCTGTCTCTGTCTCTGTCTCTGTCTCTGTCTCTGTCTCTGTCTCTGTCTCTGTCTCTGTCTCTGTCTCTGTCTCTCTCTCTCTCTCTCTCTCTCTCTCTCTCTCTCTCTCTCTCTCTCTCTCTCTCTCTCTCTCTCTCTCTCTCTCTCTCTCTTATCTCCTTCCCTCACTTTTGTTATCTCTATCCTGTTTCTCTCTACTTTCATCTCACTCCCCTCTATCTTCCGTTTCTTTCCTCTCTCTCTCTCTCTCTCTCTCTCTCTCTCTCTCTCTTTCTTTCTCCCTCTCTCTCTTTCTTTCTCTCTTTTTCTCTCGATCGCTCTCTTTCTTTTTCTATCTCTCCTCTCTCTCTCTCGTTCTCTCTCCTTTCCGTTTATCTGTCTTTCCCCTTTCAGACACTACCTACGGACCTACTCGAAGAACACAGCCTCTCTTACACTCACCAGACACAGAGAACGAGCTAATAGCCAGGGCCCGAGACTGCCCGACCACGCTCGCAGGCCGGCAGGAGTAATTTATCTTCTGGCTCTCCAAGCCAGCCCAATCTTACCGAGTGCCTTACGTACGTGATGATGGCATACTTCTAACTCACGGCGTTTTAGCAGCGGCACTCAAGAAGTCATAACTTTGCCGTGTTAAAAGGGAAGATTCATCTCACATTGCAGTTTGATTAGGCTGAGATTTGAGCACACCAGTCCTCCTGCAGCACTCGTAGCGATAAGGCAACATAGGAGTGACATCACAAAGGGTAGGTTAGCCGTAAAATGATTACCGTCCAGTCTCAAGCAATGGGATACAACTAACGAACTCATGAAGAAAAATAAATGCAATACAAAATTATAGCACAACAAAAGATTACCGAGAAAAGTCTGTCTTCGCATGACGAGCATGGTAAATAATCGCATAAAATCGGCTGATTTAACAGTAGTCGTCGACCGGATCGTCTCAAAGCGGCTGATCACCGGACACAGGTGACCCGGAGGAAGAAAGGTCGCTATATCCGGCGCCCACGGGGTGGTTCCCACAGACTCCCGGACCCGGAGGCCGGCCACCCACGCGTCCGCCACCTTTTCTCTCGCCGTCGGAAAACGGAGTCGGATGGCGGCGAGCCGGGTGCGACGGGCCGACAGCTCGCCTCTGAGCTCCGACAGCCGCTCAGTCACCGTCCGTCCGCTCCTGGACCGTTCTCACCGGGCCGACCCGCTGAGAACGCCACCAGCCCCTCCGGAATCAATGGCTCAGCGAGCAGCCCGGCAGCCGCTGAATAACGTATGGTGACCGGGCACTTTTCAACTACCGAAGAAGTGATGGTGGATGCTTAGAAAAGGAGAGTGCCTGATTGCCGACGGTAGCTGCTGTAATAGTCAAGGCCATGCTGCTTTTGAAGTCATGGATGAAAAAGTGCGCACTGCCTCGAAGGCTAACGCAAGGCCCATGCATTCTGTTTCCTCCGGCCAGGAGAACGTTTGCCACTGCTGGGGGCGCGATGGGCCCACCATCATCAGATGCACCGTGCCGCGGGGCGAGCCCGGGTGATAACGGTGCCGGCCTGATGATATATGGGGGGCGCCGACGCGGCCAGGGCAGGCCAAACGAGCGGCGGCCGGCCGTGCGACGCGCCCTGTCACGAGGTAATGACGCGCGACACGTGACGTCATCGGTGGCCGAGCGCGGCGCGAGACATGTCACAGTCACGACCGGGTCGTCCATCTCGGCAGCGAGGCCGACCGACCGGTCCGTACCCCCGCTAGGGGCAACATCTCTCTTCCAATACCGCTATGCTCAGAATTGTTTCCCACACTTCGATCTACCCAAAACAAACAAGTCATAAGTGCCCATGCTCAAATCAGATTCTCTCCCCTTCATCGCCGGCGCTTAAATCTTTCGATACATTTCTCGGATTTCCACGCCACAGCCCTCCACAGGTGCCGTGTTTATGTTCACTGGTCGGTGGGGGACGGCACGGAGGGGGAGGGGGGAGGGCGGCTCGTGTGTACCGGTCGTTTGCGGTGACGGTTTCGCGGCACGGGCGCGGCACCAGTCACGCACGTGCCCCACTCCCCCACCGCCGGACCTGGCAGCTCCGGATAGCAACGAGCACAGCGCTGGTCGGTCGGTGAGATCCTGAACTGATGCAGGCGAAATGGAGGAGTGAGGTTATAGTGAGGTAGTTCAACCGGAGGAAGACCTAGGTTATTGTCAAACGCTGTCAGTGTCATTCACAGTGTATCGTGCATAGTTTTTGCAAAGACGCCTTGTTGAATAGCAGCCATGTTGTGATGGAACCTCCGCCAGTTATGTAACAAGCAGTCACATCCTGGATGTTGCGACCAGCTATACCTCGGCGAACCAAGAAACCAGTAACCTAGGTGACCATAATAAGCTGTGACTTGTAACCCACAATGACCCTTGACCAGTGACCTGGGTAGCCTAAGTGATCAGTGACCGAGGTGACCGTAAACCGTAACCAGTGACCTGTAATGACCCCCAGTGACTAGTGACCTCTGACCCCCAGTGATCCGTGTCTAGTGAGCTCCCCGGGACCAGTGAGCAGCGGCCCAGCAAGGCTGTTGGAACTCACAGGGCGGGCGCGCCGGTGACGGGCTTGCTGTTGCGCTGGTCGATGATGACCAGTTGCGGACTATTGGCACTGAACAGCTCCATGGCACGCTCCTGGCTGTACACGGCGTCATAGTTGAGCTGGAGACGCGTGCAGGCGCGACACAGTGCCTTGCTGCGGCTGTCGGATCGACTGAACCACAGCAGTACCTGACAAATGGGGGAGAAACAGATATTTTCATATAATAAACCGCCACGTACACTAAACGGTAGAGGGCATCACAGTAGAGGGGCAAAATATAGGTAGGACGCCGGCTGCCTACAACTACAGCAGAGCATGACTCAAATGGAATAACGCCTGCTGCTGAATACCAATCACACCACTAAGTTTTATTGCAGCTATCCGTTCAACTCTTAGTTCTTACCCAGAAATAAGAAAACATAAAATAAAATTAAAAACATAAATAATCTACAAATAGCAATACGGAAGACCATCAGGTGCAGCCCATGGTCGGCTTGTTTCAACGACCCCACAATCACCCGTTGACTGAGGTCGGACCTCCGAACGCGCTAACTCACCCGTACTGGCTGGTGTCGCACCACCATCTGACCTAGCCGGCTCCTCTGCAACACAACATAAGCACACACAGATCAGGTGACGGACCGGAAGCAGCGGCCCGATAACACACCATCACCCAATGGTCCCCGGGGTGCTCTCGGTCTTCTATTTAAACTGCAACCTTTCAGCGGCAGCATTAAAAGTTTGGGCCTCTGTGGATGCTTCGGCCATAGGAAAGCCATCAGGCACGCTATTCATCGTTGGATATGAACCACAGAATGCAATTGGGGCAACACAATAAGCCTCACAATAATATTAAATAAACTATAGTATCCCGGACTCCGAAGTATAGGTGTGTTAGGGTTTTAGGGGCTTAGGGCAGGTGCTTCAGCTCTCAGCGCATATGCGAGTAGGCTATCAACTCTATCGGAAGCGGAGTATCAAAGCAAAACACTTGACTGGGTCCGTAAGTTGGCAGGAGCAATGTGAGTGCCGACTCCATCAGACACGTGCATTGCATGCACCAGACAGTGAATACATTCATTCACCGATTGCCGCTCACCGTACCGCGAAAGCTGGCGCCCCGAGAAGCACTGATTGCGCCCACTATTCGGTCGAGCGAAGGCTCAAAGTGCGGCCGAGATTCGATACGTTTGATTTGGTGAATTGGCGTTTCCCCGGAGCGGCAGGACAAGCGTCCGTCCAATATGAGTGGCTTCTGTGATCGGAAACGGGATCCTGTACCCGGTCGGCAATTCGCCCTGAATCGGTAACAGCTCGTCGGCTTTACTAGCCGGGCTCAAAGCCATCCAATATTCCGAGCACAGTTCCGACGGAGGCAGTATGTAACTGCCCAATGGTAAATGCCGACGTAAATGCCGACCAGAGTCCGGGAACTGGGAGACGAGCAGCGGCGGCCGCCCACCCGTGTCTGCGCCGTAACACGGAGACGGAGTCACTACCGTCGAATAGTACACGTCCGTCCAGCACAGCCTACTAGCCCGTCGGACGTCCGGCCTGGGACGGCGGTCGGCCGGCCCCTGACCTACATAACCCTCGGGCGGCGGTTTGATTGAGACTCCACCGTCGCTGGACGGCCGGTTGGCAGCCGGCACGGCGAGCCCTGCCAGCCTGTCGGTCAGACCTCCGCCGACCACACCCTAACAGCATCGCTCCGCTGTCACGGTGCGCGGCCGGCTGTCAGAATCACGGAGACCAGGCGGGCCACAGCGCCTCGACGAGCGCACTAGTCCTCGGGACACATCATAAGATGTCGATCAGCGCATCAGTAGACGTCTTCACACCACTGAGCCTTGCCCTCCACCACACGGTGCTGATTGGACCGCGCGTGAAATGGAACTGAGTTATTCCGAACACAAACCGACATGAATGGATAATTATGCGGACACACGCCGTTTCGACTTATCCGGGAAGTGAGTTCGGTATATGTTGGGAACAGATTAAAACTCTGGGAACAGCTATTCACCACGTTATGTGTTATCATCCATATCGGCGCTGATAACTTACACAAGCACGTCTAAAGGACCATAGAACCACAGAGTGAAGAAAGAGCAAAGAAATACTGGTGTTCACGAATAATTGCATTTCACAGTTATGATCGCCAGTCCATCGCACAAATACAACTTATAACAATGAAGGCGGAGCACCAAAGAAGCGTTCCGCTACCTCACAAAACTACGCCAATAGTTGTACAAAAATATCGCAGCTACATCCATCATCCGGATTTGCCGTGTCCGGCTTTCCGATGTCCGTGTGTTTGACATGACGCGCCGCCGGAGACCAGAGGGCGGCTGCCGTCGACACATGTTCTATGGGCCGGCCTCGGACAAGGCGGCGCCGGCGGCACGGCGGCGGCCTTTTTGGCGCGCTACACGTCGTGTGCCGCACACGACATCCGAGCAGCACGGAGCCGCGGCGCGGCCACCGCAGGGAGTGGCCGCACAGAGCCGCCGCCGCCGCTGCTGGCATTCTTTTCCTCCATTAGCAGCGGCGGCCGGCGCTATCGGCAAGGAGCCGAGGCCGGCGGACGGGCACAGCACAGCGCGGCGCGGGAGCAGCAGCAGCTCGGTCGGCCCGGCACGGATTAACGACACGGATTAACGGCCGGCCGCCAGCGGCAGACGGTAATCCGCGGCACCCGCTCCACCGCCGGCCGGCCCGGCCCCAGCTCTCCGAACGACCCCGGCGCCGGCCGGCCTCCAGCTCCATGCCGCAGCTCCAAAACACTGCAGCTCCATCACCGGCCGGTCCGTCCCCAGCTCAAAGCCTTCAGCTCCGGTCCGTCCCCAGCTCGGAGCTTCGGTCAATGCCCAGCTCATGCCTCTAGTTCCGAGCCGTGCCCAGCTCTGGTCCGTCCTCAGTTCTGGTTCGTTCACAGTTCCTGCCCGTGCTCACTGCTCAGTCTCGCAAGATCACGGATCGATGCAACATCGGCTCTTCCATCACCCCATGGAACCGGGATAGATATGCTGGCCTTACACCGGGTCGCGGGACTGTTCTCTCAATTGAGCCTGGCTGGGACTGATAATAATTTCATTATGGCTCACTAGGATCGAGACTAATGCCCAATGACCTTGCTGGCAGGTCGCCCTTCCATCTGACCCTGACCCGCTCTGGGGTGGGTGACCGACCGAACTGACCCTGTGACCCCTGCACCACTAGCAGCCCGGAGCGGCGATTCCGGTGTTCCGAGCCGCGGCTGGCACGCCCGTATTTCGCCGCTCACGTCTTTTATCGTCCTTCTGAGCTGACCAACGACCAGGACCACTCAGACCAGCCGAACATCGACAGGGAACTATGGGCTCACAGAGAGCGCTCAGAAAACTCCGCGAGTAAAGACCTACAGAAGTGGAGTCATTTGGCGCACTAAACATGCATTGAACGAAGCAACTGGTCACATGGCTGTTTCGCTATACTCCGTCGGAGATACGGTGTTTTGTTTGAAGGATAACAAATTCAAAATTGCGGTCGACGTATCTCAGCATATGCAAGGACTCAACCAAGAGCGCTATGGGCACCGAACACCTTTCATTAACACGTCTGACCTTTTCTAGGCGGCAGAAAACAATACCAGCGACATAACTCGGCGAGAACTTGTATCCGAATATTCAATTCATGGTATGGCAAACACCCGCGGAAAGAATGAGTTCGCACAGGACTATCAGCAAACTGGAACTTTGTTCCAGTTGCGGCTAAACAGTCGTTTAAGTTGGCGAAAAGTATTTGATATTGCTTACGTTTGATGAAGGAGACCGCGTTCAAAAAGCCGTCTGCCCATCGAAATAGATAAACAAGTTTTGGAGAGTTGGACTTATTGCTCGTAATATCGTTTGCCAGAACTGTTTACCGTTAAAACACTCCACAACTTTAATAACTCCTGTTTATTTGCCGACGATAAAACAGCCCAGTGCAGTGGTAGAATTGTGATCAGTCGTCGTGTCCCTCTGCGTCTGGCGGCGTCAGTGCTGACATGAGAGAGCTCTCTTATCACGCCCAGAAAGGTAATGTCACTAACAGCGACACAGGCAGACCTCTGAAAGCTCTCAGTGACATGAGACCTTCGAAATGTGTCAGTTCAGCCCTCGGAAGGTCTCAGGACAGCTTTCGGAAGGTCTCAGGACTGACCTGGGCAGGATCAGGGCAGTTGTCGGCACGTCTCAGGACATCCAGCATTGGCATGTCTCAGGACAACCGGCATTGGCAAGTCTCAGGATCTACCTAGTCAGCTTTTTTCTTTTTCTTTCAACATATCTCAGAACAGTCTTTGTCAGGTCTGGTCGCGACCGCCAGCGACGTGCCTCAGGCGGCTCAGAATAGCGCTTAGCTGGCTGTCCAGCTGCCGGGTGTTTCCGTCCTTCAGCGTGTCTCGTGCCTCCCTCGGCAGCACGGATGTAGTGCGGCGCACCCTCGGACCACCGCGGAGCGCCATTCATCTGTGACCTCCGCCGGTGTGAATAATTCAGGGCAGAGGACCGCACACCGCCCCCGGAGACGGGTGTTGGGCCGACAAAGGCGGACACAACACGCCGTGCGAGGTTCGGGAGGTGGCTCTGGCATGGATATAGTCGCGAAGATCTATTATAATTGCCCCAAGACTGGAAGGAAAGTTCAGGAAATTTCCCGGCATAAGAAGGGGAATGGAGGTTGACATGAAGAAGTGCTATTTCTGTGTAAAAAGAAAAAAGGGTTGAGATGACGCCTATACTATATTAAAATGGAATATGTCCTGGGGAATGAAGCATTAATCATCACCCAGCTCAGGAAGGAAAACTCTAGCTCCTAAACTGTGACGAGTACCTAATGGCTACTGGCTAACTTCATATCGACCTAATGACCTAGTCAACCTAGTTCCCGTGGCCTCTGACCATGACCCGTCCTGTTTCCTGGTCTATGTTGACACTGACATTGGCGTGCGAGCCCATCGGTGCTTTGCTGGCCGGACCGCATTGTCGGTTGCTGACCAGTGAGCACTGCCAGAGGATCCTGAGCGCCGACAGGGCGCAGGGCGGGGCACAGCTGCCGCTAGCGACGGCGGCCGCCCGGTCACTTACTATGGCCGGGCCCACTCCATTTCATGATCTGACGTCATAGCCACCGCGTTTGATTGGTGTGACGTCGTAGATTCTTAAGTACCAGACGTCCTCGATCTTCATCGGGTAATTTCCCAGAACGTGACGTCACAGCATTTTCGCCGACGCTCCGCTCCACTGCCTTCGGCCTGGTTGCTATGGAGAATGGAGCTGGGTCGCCGGGCTCTAGCGTTGGTAACTGGGAGTTTGGAGCGCACCTCGTCGGGTCCGGGTCGGCGGAGGCTCGTTTGAACCGGCAAAAGGTCATAGCGGACCGACTAGAGACGAACTAAAGGGTGTAACACTGTGCCTTGACTTTGAGAGGAGTCATCTTCACAAGCTATGACAAAAATCTGGCACCGTAACAGAAAAGAAATAAGGTAGGTACTGAGATTGAGGTAGGGTAAGCTCTCGATCACTCTGAATAAATCGGAGATAATGTATGGACCGCCAGCACTTGCGTTGTGAAAACAGCT